AAGGGAAGGACACTGTAAAATTTCCATTCCCTCCCCACTCCAGGGGAAGGTTAATGCAAAATCCCATTCCCTCCCCACTCCAGGGGAAGGTTAATGCAAAATCCCATTCTACACTGAAAGCAGAGGTGGTATTCAGCAGGTTCTGACCAGTTCTGAAGAACCGGTAGCGGAAACTTTGCGTAGTTTGGAGAACCGATAAATACCACCCCTGACTGGCCCTGCCCCCAACTATTCCCTGCCTCCTAAGTCCCAGCTGATCGGGAGGGAATGGGATTTTGCATTAACCTTCCCCTGGAGTGGGGAGGGAATGGAAATTTTACAGTGTCCTTCCCTTGCCACGCCCACCAAGCCATGCCCATAGAACCGGTAGTAAACATTTTTGAATCCCACCAATATAATATATCAAAATAATTCTTGGATATTTAATTTTAAGTCTGGGTTAAAAGCACTCTTGAAAAGTTTACTGAATGGCATGACTAGATTCCAAATGAAGTCTATCTGACTGACAACTCTAATATGGATGGAGGTATGACCAAGTCAGCAATGCCTTTTATGGTTATAATTAATCAAGTTTCCCAGTATCCTTTCAGATTCCACTTTTGTTCTGAAGCCTAATGAACCAAATGGAATTATAAACTGCCCAAGTCTGTAAAGCAGAACCTGACCTTTTTTTTGTCAGTGGACAAAAAGACTAGCCTGATAGTTCTCACACATTTTAGTCTCAGGACTCTTGTATTTTTAAAAACGACTGAGGACCCCAAGGTATGTATGTTATATCTATCAATAAATATTCATTTATTTATCTTTGTTGACCCACTGAGAGTCTTGGAGACCTCGTTGAAGACTACTGGACTAAACCAATAAGGTGCACTGGCTTATAGAACACAGTGCAAAAAGTTCTGTAAGAGCACACAGAAGGTCAATGGAAGAATAGCTCCATTTGTGACAAAAAGGTTGTTTAGTTCAAAAACAAAGTCAGCTTCTCTATATTCACTTTAGCCAGGATAGCACCCAATAAAAGCACCTTTCTACCAGGAAGTTTAGACTGGGAGCTTTATTGTTCAGTTTCAGGTATCACACTGTGTATGGCTATTGCTGGAATTTCCTACCAATTAAGTACTATTTGTTTTGGAACCTTGAGAATATGATAGCAAATGGTAGCAAATAATGGTAGATATATAATTAGATTTGAAACTTACACACATTGCCAGCATGGACTCCTGCAGATCACACCAAACGCAAAATAGCAATTGCCTAGGCCTTCAATTAAGTTTTTGGGCAAATTTTTAAATTATGTTAACATCTGTTAGAATGTGCATGCGTGGGGGTAAGGCACACATGTGGGAGTTATGCTCGCATACGTGGGGCACATGTGGAGGGTCACATATACCTGCATGTGGGGCGCATGCATTGCATTATGGGTGTGTGCATGTGCGCATGCTTTCAGCACTCAGCATCGAAAAGGTTAGCCACCACTGTCCTATAGAATGTTCTTTTTTTCTGCCAATGAAATTCAAAACTTCACCAGTCATTGTTCCCCATAGAGAACTTTGCTACATTGCCAAGAACATCTTGTTCTGATACTTTGATAGGTAAGTTTCTTAAGTCAATGGAAGGTCTTATATTTGCCATAGAATTGCAAACTCCTCTAAAGAAAGATCCCTCTAATTTTCTCCAAATTAGAATCCCTTTTCCCTAACTTATCTTGGTATGCTGAGATTTGCCTTAAAATGGTTCAGGAAACTTTTCACGTGTGAACATTTGTTTTTGTGTGTGTACATATGTGTTTGTGTATGTCTATATGTANCACCTGTGGTACACGTGCCATAGATTTGCCATCATGGCTATATACTGCAGTGTAGCTCCTCTTCTTCCATTCCTAAACCTGAACATTTTTATTTGGAAAAGGACATTTTACTCTGCTAGAATATGCTAATTCTATTGAGTGCCTCTCAACTATATGACCTAGAAGACTTCATTTGCACTTCCTTTCTCCACATTTATCTATATTACCTATATCAGTTTCAGTGTATTACTCTTTGAATTCTGTGCTAGTTTGGAAACTAAATTAGAAAATATGTAGTATGAACAGTTTAAAGGATCATATTTATTTTCAATATGATAGCTTATTGTAACCTCATATTCAATTCTGCTTAATCAATGTATATTCTAGGCAGTCATTCCTTGCAGCTAAGTTATCTTAGGATGGTGTAAAATGGGAGCACAGTGTGATATCTAAAAAACGTTCACTTCCCATAATCTCATTTCTCCTCACTCTATTTGCCATCTCCTACTCATGAGTGTTAATAATAATAAAAAATGGGGTACTAGGGAATTAAAATACAAAGCATGTAAAGGGTATTAGGTATTAGGAAACTCTGCAAGAATTAAGTGTTTAAGCTGTATAGAAAGTAATTGATATTGATATGCACCCTTCAATTATTCAGTTATTGTAACTGAATTCTAACCTTACCATACCAAAAATGCAAAACATATTTGAAGTTTGGAATTACAATAGTGGCAATATATATTGATATATTTGCTACCTTCCAGATAGGAGAACCATGGCAAGGATATGTAGTCTTGTGAAAAAGTATTCATATCTTTTTCTAATTTGCTAATTTTTTAATGTATCTTTGCAATTGATTGTTCTCAGAGCTTTATGTAGGAGTCTAATGAAAAACACCACCAGATAGCAAAAGTTGTCCAAAATTTATTTTGAGCAAAGCATGGTTTCAATCCATATGGTGAGAATTTCATTATTTCAATAATAAAAATGAAATATATTATTTATATACATAAATTGTCATGACTGTTCAATGAACTAATAATAATAATAATAATAATGTTCCCTAGTTCTCTGTAATTGAATTGATTAAATCAAGGAATAATTATTTTGTCATATTGTTGAATTCCTTTTTTATTAAATAAATGAAACAGGCACTAACCTTTAGTAACAGTTCAGTAACAGTTATTTTGTGTATCATTAGGACCTACATGAAGCTCTGGTAATATTCAAAAAAAGCAAATATTTCAAAAGAGACAGAATATTCTTTTTCCACAGAATTATGTTCATTTTAGAAATCCAACTTCAAGTGCCCTGCGGTTTATTATACAGAAACAACTATGTCTCCAAAAATCCATTTGGAAAATAATGATGTTATCAAGTTCTTCAAAAATTCACAACGTACATAATAGCAATCAATCTCTTTTTGAGTCAAAACAATGTAAGTATTAAGCAACACTTAAAAAACTACATGGCCATTTCTAATTTGTTTTACTATTATAAGGATAAAAGTTATTACCTCAATGGATCCTGGTTCAACTGTGACTACTTCTTTTGTGTGATGGTTTTCATTGCTAAGACTTGGAGGGGTATGTGAAGCTAAGGCATTCTCTATAAATTTCTTGTTCAGGATTCTGGCAGCATTTTCTGTTAACATGTATCCTGGCGGAGCAGATAAATCTTGCCTGATATTTGTAATTTCACCTGTTTCGTCTTTTTGTGGGTCTGTACCCAAACGGAGAGGACTGGGTGACCTGCCCCGCATATCTGTGCACATATCTTGCATAGATCCAAGTTCTGGCCTGGGTTCTGCTGATCTTGACCGGCTGCTGGACCTGGAGCATCTTTGGAAAGTATCATAAGTGATAGGGGTATGGTCAATGATATTGAATAGACTAGAGAGGCCATCATTTATTGTAGTGTGAACTGGACTCTCTCTTGTAGTAGTAGATCTGGCCCAAGCAGATTCACTAAATCCTTTCTGAGGTGTGCTTGGTAATGTCCGGCTAATTGGCTGATCTGTTTTGGAACAAACTTTTTTCTGTAATTTTGGGGAGCCATATTTTGGAGAGCAACATGTTCGTTCGTATTTGCCCTGGACCTTTTCAATAGCAGCAGCCATTTGCCTGCTTCTTAAACTTCTGGTTGGTGATGAAATAGGTGTAGAGCCCCCCTTTGGTGTCAGACATCTATGTGGACTGCTAGTGAGTGTACGCAAAGTATCTGTCTGTAAGCCCACATTGATAGTTTGAGTAGTCTGAGTCCCCATTGTTCTCATTCCATTAGTTTGGCAAGCTGTGTCTCTGAATTGAAGATCTGTTGAGCTCGTATGTATTGCATTTCTGACAGAAAAAGCTACCTCTTTCATATCATCGCTCATGTTTTTGGACAGCTCCAGATTGTGCAAGGATGAGGCAAAACGCACTGTAGTACAGATTGGACGTTCAATTGGATGAAGGCCAGTTTCTAGGAAATCATTATGATGTTTGGAGAGGTCACAGGACCATCTCCCAAACACTTCTGATGAAGCACTTTTGATCTCACCCACATTTCCTTTTGCTTTGGTCACAGGAAACAAGAAGTCTGTCTCAGGCTGATTTTTCCCTTCACTACCAGGGACAAGTGAGTTATCAAACCTGCGAACCAATGGCGGACTGTGGAAGACTCTAACTCCTATTTTTTCTGTATCAATGTGACTTCTTGGTGACTGTTTCTGGCAGTGTTCAGGACTCGTCATGGTGTTAGTTGTCATAGTAATACTTGTGGTAAGATACCATGAAGATGGCTGGAATGGATCTGGAACAGAATTATTTCCTGCCTTTCCCATCTCCGTCCTTTCTGCCCATGTATCTGAAGGCCTTTCTAAAGTTCCACTCTGGCTTCCAGTAGTGTTGTAATCCCAATTTTTGTTAAATTCCTCTATGTATTTTAAATCATCAGGAGATAATGGAGGTGTTGCATCTTCTTTGGTGTTAGAGGATGGTATAGTCTTTTCAGGAAGAAAGGGAGAAATGTCCATCAAACGCTTGAACTCTGACATGGAGGAAACTGACATTGCCCTAAAGAAAGGAAGGAAATCATATGAAATTCCTTTAAAAGATACTGGTTCATTCCTATTTTAAACTATGGATTTCATTTTAAGCACTGAATGCTTCTGCATAACAAAAAAACACAGCTACCAAACAACTGTCAAGGAAAGATTCTAATAATTTTCAAATGCACCTGAACTCACTGCAAATGTAGGTAAATGTGTTAATATATTACAAAGTTCATTTCTAATTTCGTTCTTTTGTCTTTACTCACCTTTGTAGATTTCCCTTGTGCATTTCTTCTTCCTGAAAGAAAATTAAGAGTTAATTTTGGATCTTGCATATACGTATATGCATCAGTGACTATGTTTGCATTAGTATACTTAATTGTTGGGATATACGAAAATCCTTTGAATAATGTGTCAAAATCCTTTCTACATAATAGCTTCTGAGAGGATTTTGGTATCCTGATAGTTCACATAGTACAGTGTAAGAAGTTCTAGACAATTACAGAATTTGTAATTCTTTAATTCAATATCATCAGGGAGGGGGCAGGATGCAAAAGGATTCATTATTTTAAGGGATCATGGCACCACAAAGTTTGAAAAAAAAACTCCATCTAAACACATCTGGAGCTTTATTAGTATTAATAGCATAATGCCTCTTTTTAAAAAAATGTATGACGTAAGAGTAGCATCTTTTTTCTATTTTTTGTTTTGA